TTTGTGGAGGCATAACCACCCGCTTGATTTTTTTATTATATCTTATGTGGTAGGCGTACCCAGCCCGCTGTCCAAGTTCATATATATCTTGTGGGTAGGCGTACCAGCCTGCTCCCGGATTTCATTATATCTTGTGTAGTGCTAGCCAGCCCACTCCCATTTTCATCATATTCTTGTGGTAGGCGTACCAAACCGCTCCCATTTCAATCATATCTTGTGGTAAGTGCTATGATCGCGGCCGCCTCAACACTACATAATGGTAGTAGAGGGGTAGAATAACTAATACCCGATAGTGGATCGGGGTCGCATTTCCACAGGGAAGCTTTTGAATGGAGTTGATTGGCGGTTTAGTTTAGAAATGCGTTTGTACTTCTAATTGCACTCCTAACATTTTGAGGGTTTTTTATATTTAAAACTATTTTTCGTAACCTAAGAATTTAAAGGCTAAATTATGCTAAGGAAATATTGCAAGTTGTGCTTGATATGAGAAAAAAAGGCATTAGGGTTGTGACACTACTAGGTGGCTAGCTAACGGGTAGCGCTACTCAGGGGAGATTGATAAGTTTGGGTTTTAGTGCTTATAAGCGTTACACAAGTGCCATCTCATTCTCACACTTTCGGTAGAGAGAAACGATTTTGCCCAATTGATCTCCTTGAGACATTAGGTAAGGCAATTAGACCGGGAACTAGGGTCCCAAGTAGGGTAATTAACTCTTTCGAGGTTTAACCCGTTAATTGGGACTACCATTCTCATGGAGTTCCATCCGCAATTCCTTGTGGGTTTTAATTTTAGGGTCATAAGACTCTCTTCTCTCAAGAAGAGTTAGACCAGCTAAGCTTGAATTCATGTTTGGTCACCACAAATTCTAGATTGAAACTCAAAATCAACCCAAATACAAATACCCACTCTCAATCTCACCCTACGAATGCAACACCCATTAATACCGCACTACTAGGGTTGAGCCACAACCCTAGCTAATTGGGTTTAGTTAGACCAATTAAAGAAGAAAACAGTAGAAATAGTTGATGAAATGAACATAATAATTGATTGCATACTTTAATCTATGATCAATTCAAAGTAAAATTTGCCAAATTAGGCTCAAAGGTACTTCTGCAAGAGCGGCAGCACTCTTCGCTCAGTAGTTAAAATCTGACCTAAAAAATTGTCAAAAAGATCTATTTATCCCGAGCTAGAAAAATTGGACAAAAATGCCCCTGCGGGGTAGGTGCGGACCCCGCGCAGAAATGGAGCGCCGGTCCGCGTTGGCTCTTGGACTCTTTGAACTCTTTTCTTTGAAGTTGGGATCGTGGACCGCGTATAAATGGAGCGCGGCCACGTTTCAGTACGGGCTGCGGACCGCGTAAAAGGGCGCGGACCGGCAGTTAACTTGGGCAAAAACACTATCTCTCTGAATCTCATCTACGCGGACCGCGTTAACAAGGAAGCGTGGACGCGCAGATTGCCTTTGAATGACCCAGTATTTGAATCTCCTAGCGCGGCCGCGTGGGGCAATCAGTGCGGTCCGCGCTAGGTCTTCTTGTTCCCACTTCAATTTGGTCTTTGACACTTGGCAGGTTTCACTCCGTTTTGTTAGCCGATCTTTGACATTGTTCATCTTGTCGCTCAAACCTGCAATCAAGGCGCAACTTGTAAGGGTTTTTGGGGTTATTTTGTGGCAATTCATACCAAAGCAATAGCAAGTAGGGGTATAATCAAATGGCTACAATTCTAACTTAATCACTCCCCCAAACTTCAACCTTTGCTTGTCCCTCAGCAACAAAATAAAGACTACGCCAAAAAAGCAATCCAAGAAATTTCCAGCTTATCCTAAATTACCTTTCAAACGATACAATTGGGACTAACAATTGCCTGCAATAACGAATGCATCATTTAACACATTTAGGCTTTTGAAAACTATGGATCAAGTGTGGCCAGAAGAGCATCAGGGTTGACACATTTATCAAAAGAGCTTTTTCTCAATACTTGGTCATTGTGGTAACCCAAACTCAAACATTCTCAACGTCTCCCTAAGTGGCCCTCACCTTTAGAAGTAGTGACACAACAAACCGAGGTTGATGGGATTTTCACTCATTCTCCTCAAAAAGAAGGTCAACAAATCCGACTTTAGGTAACCATAGCTTGCCCCTTATTAAGTAATCCACTAAATGTAGGTTTTCGTTTCAACTCAAGATCATATAGGGCTTTTGTGGAGTCATTGTAAAGGCTTTTGGGCAAGTAT